CCCTGCTCTGAAATGAGTGACTGAAGTCCTCAAGCTCAGTTTTGAAAATGCACACCGCTAAGCAACATGTACAAGTTGGCATCCAGGATGCCACTGCATATTTAGATTCCATGCCAGAAGCAGCACTGGTATTTCAACTTGCACAGTTTAGCATCCAAGGACCATTCCGTTGTGCCTCAGCCTGCCTAAAAAAAGTCAAAAGGCTAAAAAGAGCCACTCATCAAGAATAATTCCAGGTAATCATCAGGACTTGGAACCTTACAAACTATTCCTGCAATATCCACAGCAAATGGGATTAATGGAATTGTAGACGCAGAGGTGGAAAAGACCTATTAAATTCCATATCCATCCCGCCATCCTTGTCAGACCAATAGACAGAACAGACTGTTCCGGATTGATCCCTACCCATAACAGATATAGAATTGAATGCAGTTTGCATGGGTATGTCTCCAGCTTAAAATCCAGAAGATTTTAAACGACTACTAAATAATGAGCTGAGATTTCAAAGGTCTGTCACTGGAATAAGCGGTGGTATTGTAACCCGGGTGGTTCCAAGAGAGTACAGAGACAAGGTGGGTGAAGAAGTGGGCTGTAGTCCACGAAAGCTTATGCTCTAATAAATTTGTTAGTCTCTAAGGTGCCACAAGTACTCCTGTTCTTTTTAAGGTGGGTGAAGTAAGGTATCACTTATCAGACCAACTTCTGTGTTGCTCCCCGGAAGGAATCATGTGCCTTACAATTAACCCCTGGCAGGGTGTTTGCCCCAACATCCACAATGCGGGAGTCTCTCCCCTGTACCCCATAGCGCCCCCCCCAGTAGTCTCCCCACAAATGAGATAGACTTGGGGTCAGCTGTGAGCACCGATTTCACCCCCTCTGCACATCTCTGTCGCTTATTAGCAATGCAGAGGTTGGCACATTAAGCAGAGGCAGCATGGAGGCGGACGGAGAAGAGAACAGCCAGCATGGGGGGCGGGGATTGGAGGTGGGAGGGAACCCCTGGCCCCTCCCCGGGGTGGGTGTGGAGTGGCCGGTGGCATGAAAAGGGAGCCGGGCTGGGGCCAGCGAGACGAGCAGCGTCGGTGCTTTGCAGCAAAGCAGGTGAGCAGGGCTGGTCGCCACAGGGGCGCGTCGCGGTTCGGGTTACTGCCGATCTGTCCCTGTTCATTATTCCGTGCCGTGCAATTGCCTTCCGCCTTGTGTAACCCGGCCCGAGCCAGTCCCTGGGCTGCTGCGGGCGGGCACTGATGATGCAGCTTTCATTATGTGCTTTTCTTGACCCTGGTTTAGAGTAAACAGATTGCAGCAAAGCTGGGGGCACTTTCCAGGCAGGAGCGGCTACCCCAAAGCTGCCCACTGCCCTGCCCGGCTGAGGGGAAGAATCAGTGTCTTCTTGTCTTGCAGGTTGCACAAGTTGCTGAGGTTTCTGTAGGCGAGAGGGGGAAAAGTCATCCGACATGGCATCTGAGGTGAGTGTGAGCTTGGATGCATCACCAGGAGCTGTCACCTATTCTCAGTGTTCCTATCACGGGAGCTGTTCCACGTGCAAAGTACATTTGTTTGGAGGGAGTTGGAGTCAAAAATATGGCAGACCTCCATTTATTTGAGGGGTTCTTCCCATGACCAAGACTAATTCTTTTAGGTGGCTGTCGCTCTCCTGTTTATCACGCTTTGGACACCCACTCGTAGAGTTGCTTGCCCAAGATGCTTCTCTATACAAATGCTGCATTCTTAGCACTGGCCCCGGACCCCAGTTAGCAAAATCTGACCAGTTCCCATAGCGGTTCGTGCTTTCCATTTTCAAAAATTGCTAGCACCGTCTTCTTGGCCTTATCTGCTATTGTGCACCATTGTTATCACTATTCTGATAAGCGTCTCTCATCTGTCAAAATTTGCTAGCCTTGCTCTTTCCATTGTTGGTCCAACTGGTAGCAAATTTTGACTAGGGGAGAAACCCATACAAAATATATTCTGAAATTCTGTGACCTCTAAAAGATGAGAAAAACTGTTTGCATGTTCACAGCTAGACTTTTTTTAATCACTTGCAGTAAAAGTTCAGTTACCTCAATTGTCTGTTGATGCCTGAATTAATATGGGGAGAACCTGAAACAAAACACATAGATCTGTCTTTGCCCATTCCCCAGTCCAAATGCTTCTATGGTCTCGTGTTGATTTCCAGATTTCGTCCCCCTTCACTTGTCCTTAGTACAGAATTGATGAGGAAAAAATCATATCTACTCTAAAGTTCTGCAGAGATCAGCCTGTGTCATTGTATAGGTTTGACAGGCAAAATGCCATTCACTTGAAACAGTAGAGGAAATCAATATGATGGCAAAATCTAGGTGGTAGCGAAGCTGAGGCTGTGCAGAATTTGACTGACAAAATATAGAATTCAAAATGGCTGTATTGCCAAAGCTGCCCTGAAAATAAAATTTTAAAAATCTCCAACTATAGGCCCTAATTCTTCAGTCCTGAGGACAAAACTCCCCAGGACTTCACTAAGTGTATTGCCCCCATAGGGACTGTAAGATAGACCCCAGGAACAATCTTTGTTCATCAGGGATTGGTAGATATGTGGAGACAGTCCTTGGGGAAAGACTTGCTTAACAATGACCCCGCTAGCTGATGAAATAGTGGCACTGATTAACTTGAAACTGGGTCCTCTGCCAGAGAAGGTGGCTGTGATTCCTGGCCTGCAGAGGGAGTAGAAGGGGTGTGAGAAATATATTAGATGGGCACAAGTATCCATTTAAACTCTGCTACAGGCACTTCCTGTAAATGCTTCCCAATTGCTCCTCTGTCTGCTAATATCTGCTTTGGAAACTTTCTTTTTGAATCTGTTAGGCCAAACCATGAAGTTTTTACACAGCAGACATCCCATTTGACATCAGTGGGAGTTTCGCCTATGTAAGGACTTCAGGGATGTGTCCATCTGTGTAAACAAGTGACATGGGACCAAGGGACACATGTTTCTGTTTGCTAATGAAGCAATGCCGTTGTACAAATGCGTGGTGAAATAGGTCACACGCAGGTTTACGCATTTGAGTGGCTTAAAGTGTGTTCGCTTCAGAAGGGTGCCCACAAAGAATATCGTAATGCCACACTCCAATGTCAAATTAATCAATGCAGTAGATTTACACCAGGGTAAACTTTGACCCATTTGACTTACTCTGTGAATCCAGAGTAACTGCGTTTAACAGACCAAAACCTGTCCTTAAAACTTAAAACCCAGCAGGCTTGATTCTCCTGCCACTCACACTGTTTTTATCCTGGTGTAACTCCACTGCAGTAAATGAAGTTATTCCTGATTCACACCAATATAAGTGAGGAGAGACTCTGGCACAATGTGAACTTAAAATACTTCATAATTTCAGAAGTTTTTTTAATAGAGTTAGCTTGTATCTGCCCACAGCTCCCTCTCACTTAAAACCCCTCCCCTGCTTTTTATTTTTTATAACGAATGTATCCTTCTTTGTTCAAAACAGTGGAAAAGTTCTAGTCTTTGCTATGTCCTTTGCTGACCAATTATTTTGCTCTAAAAGGATGTCAGTGGCTTTCAACTGCTTTAAAAGAGAGGTCAATGCTGGTTGTGTGTCACATGCCCTTATACTTGCTTTGAAAAATGAGGACATAAAGATGCCATACTTGTGTTGGGGGCAAAGTACAATTGGTTAGCCCAGGATCCAGCAGTAACGGTTCAGTAGCTAGACACTAATGACAAAGACAAACTGCCCATCTCTGGAACGGCATGCAAGAGTTCTGGCATTCTGAATATTACATCAGCCTTTTTCTGATCTGTGCTCTTATGATGACTCAGAGGCTGTATTGCTTATTATCCGAGCATTGGCCACATTCTGCTCTTAGATGAATACTGGCAGTTCCCATTCACTGCAGTTCCGAAGTGATGTATAATTTGCATTGTGGTAGTGCCTAGGACCCCACTGTGCTACATGTCAACACAGAACAAAAAGATAACCCCTTTCCCAAGAAGTTTACAATCTAAATACAAGACATGAGACAACAGGTGGCTACAGACAGATGGATGGGGGAACACAAGGAAACAATCGGCAGCATGGTAGGCAGTGACTTTAGCACACCAGCTGCCGAACTTTTGTTTTTTTGTAGGTAATTACAAACTGATAAGCGTGCATAAGGGAGACGGACTCATGATAAGGGTCTGGGAGAGAGAGATGTAACGGGAGAAGCTGTGGACAGGAGCGTTTCAATGTATAAGTTTAAAGCAGGGCCTCCTTGCTCCCTTTTGTCCTGGCCTCTCTCTGCACAGGTTACAGCAGCGTAAACTCACAGCACCTTTGACATTACTGCCAAAGTTGGCCTGTTGATTCAATGGAAGTTAGTGTCATAGGCCAAATTAATTGACAGAGTTGTACTCCCCTACACCAGGTCTCAATTTGTTCCTTCTATTCTGGTAGATTCAGGGATGCTGTCCCACAGAATTAATACTCATCCCAAAGAGTGTTTCTTTAACGGTTCTTTCAGATTTACCAGCATGTCCTTTTAAGCTGCATTTTTTTAAAAACTTCCTTTTCCACAGGGAGATAAACTTTGGGGAGGAAGATTCGTAGGAGGCACTGATCCCATCATGGAGACTCTCAACTCTTCCATGACTTATGACCAGCGGTTGTCGGAAGTTGACATCCGAGGGAGCATGGCTTATGCCAAGGCTTTGGAGAAGTCTGGGATTCTAACCAAGGGTGATTTGGAGAAGATTCTGAGTGGATTAGAAAAGGTATGTATTTGCTTGAGCACAAAGTGTGGTAAAAGGTTGTCAGTCATCGCCACCGGTACCCACCATGACTTGAAGCTTTAACCACTGCTCCTTGGCTGATGATCTTCCTCTTTTCAGGTAGTCTGCATTGTAATCTTCCTTAGTCCTGATTCAAGAAAACATTTAAGCCCATGTTTAAGTCCCATTATTTAAAAGTAGGCACATTATGTGCTTCCCTGAATAGGGATGGTGTCTTGAATCATGTCTTTGATTATAAAGTTGGGGGTCCTGCATCTGTCCTGACGCTTGGCTTATCTCTGCTTCCCGTTCAGTTGTATGCAGTCTAACCCATGTTGTGCCTAGGCTGCTCCATGCCCCCAAACAGTTGCCTGGAGGAGATCTCCCATTTTAGTGTCTCCGTTCCTGCAGGCAGAAACACATCATCAAGCACAACAAATCTGTAAGCCCGCTCCAAGCCCCTGCCATTTCCGACTCTGAAAGATTTGTCGTTTCTGTCGATAGCTATAGCATCACAATATCTGAAGGTATTACAAAGGTGAATGATTTCCCAAAGAGGCAACTCATGGTCATGAGTCTATCCTTTATTTGCTCTTCACTTCAAAAAGAGAACGGGTTTTTGTTTTAATGACTTCTGTAGCATGCCTGGACCACTTTGTTTTTGGAGACATGGCGGTATATGTCTTGGGACTACTTGGATATATTTCGAACAATTGATCTCTGGAATCCTGAAGAGTAACACGTTCTAATGGCATGAACCCAGGCCAGGGAGCCAGGAACTCTAGTTCTAATGTTGTCTGACATTGGCTTGCTCTTGTGGCCTTCGGAAAACTCACTTAATCTCTTAACCCTCATTTTCCCCCCCATCTGTGAATGACTAGCGCTATATGTAAGTTAGTCCCATTTTTAAGATCAATAGCATCTGTTTAAGATGTGCTTAGATCTAGAAGAAACAGAACCCTGTGTTGGCTGGTAGCCCGTGACCCCAGGTAATGTGGCAGGAATATGGGTTCTGAAAGTCTTCTACAAATGTTATTAAAGGCCATTATAGAAGCTGGGACACCCTGCTGAGGTGCATTCAGTTCAAACCCCCTTCCCAGAACAAGCAGTACTCAGGAATTGTTTCAGTAGAAATTGGGAGTGTTCTCTGAGTTGACGCACAGGATGCTCTTGTGTCTGGCTGTCTGAATTAATTCACCATATTGTATAGGGGTGAAGAGAAAAGTCAGCCAGGGGAATGCATCTCTGTTAATCCATTGTTGCTGCTTACACACTGTGAACAACGGGGAATCCATACAGTGTTTACGTATGAAAATGTTGGTGGGTTTTATTGCTGGTTGACTTTTCAACTCACTTTGTCAAGTACATTTTTAACCTCACGTGTCTTAAAGGTTAGTAGCTAGAGGTGGAAAAACAGATTCATGGAGTGCATCCCCCAGAAAGTGCAACAACACCTATTCCTGCACCCTGAAGGAGGGCGTGGCACTGATCTGATGCAATTTTAATGAGACTTAAGATGTATTTCTAAACTGACAGCAAGAGTCTCTTAATAATGCTTTGCACTTTTTAGTTCCTGATTTTGATCTCTTGTGCACCATTGTGCAAGTTCAGTGATTTCAGTCAAGTTATTTAATCACACGATTTTGAGATCAGGATGAGGCCCCAATTACTAGATCTGAGGATCGCAAAACATTTTACAACCTGACTGAATCAAGCCTCCAACACCCTTGTGCAGAAAAGAAGCGTCATTAACCACTGACCGGTGTCTTTTGCTGATGTAGATTTCTGAAGAATGGTCCAGGGGAGCCTTTGTGGTGATCAAAAGTGATGAGGATATCCACACTGCCAACGAACGCAGACTAAAGGTCCAGTTCCTCTAATTTCCTCATAACTTCCAGGTCATGCCTCTGATCAGTCTGGCAGTAGTAAAATAAGTCTTCTCCCCTTAGATCAAAGTATTTAAGTGTTTCCTTTTTAGGCTACATCCCTATTGAGAGAATTAAAAATATGTTGCAATGACAAAACTCTTATATACGCCACCAAAAACGTATAAATATTTTTTTCCATCTTATTTTGTATTCAGAGTGAGAGAAGGCCCTCCCAAAATATTATTAGGAGAAGACTTGGCCAGACCTGGCCCAAAGCAGCCTTGGGCCCTGATCCTACTTATGAATGTTAACCACATGCTTAACATATTATTAGCTACTACTGAATATGTATAGTCTAGTGGCACCTAAAGGCCCCAGTGGGGATTATTTGTATTGCAATAGCATGTAGGGCCCCTGATCCGGGGCCCCATTGTGGACCACGCACTGTACTAGCACATAACAAAACTGTCCCTGCCCTGAATTGCATGGCTCCAGTGTATTTGCTTGCATAAAGTTAAGCATTTGCATCAGCGTTTGTGAATCCAGGCCTTGGCTTTTAAGTGCAGGTGGGGTCTGCAGTCCTTATCGTTCCAATACTGCTAACACTGATGGGAAATTCTTCTGTTGCCCTCAGGAGCTGATTGGGGATGTAGCTGGGAAGTTGCACACCGGACGAAGCCGGAATGATCAAGTATGGCAAGAATTGCCTTGTGTCATTCAGTACTTGCTTTGTCTCTTATTTCCTTTTACCTCCTTTCCCTTTTCTTAATTGACATCCACAACATGATCCCTTGGGACTTAGTCACTGCAGGTGTGCAGCTCATCTAGTGGCCCAGGAGTGCTGGGTGGACAGAATGAGCGCAGTTGCTGAGCAATGGTATTGGGTATGAACACAAATTGTACTCCATTTCTTTTGGCAAAGACGATGCAGCCAGTCTCTTGCACAGCGTTCCTTTGGAACTCAATAGGAGCTCTGTGCAAACGAGAGAACCCGAGGTGCTTCAAGACTCTTTCAAACAAGTTGCAGCCGTTCCATGGCAGGCTTCGGGGTTTCCACCTGGACTGAACATCATTCCTGCGTGAACTTAATGGTCCAAAGCAAGGACAGAACGCGGGACTCAGTCCCAACCACTTGAGCTGAAGGTGAACCCGAGATAGATCAGACTATGACTAGTACCGCAGCTATCTTCTGCAGCCACTAAAGGGTGATCATCTCACGCACACTGGAGCAGGTTAGAAGTGCTACTAAACAGAGGGAGTGGCGCACATATGCACTGCTTTGGAAAGCATCTAGCTCTCTGTTGAAGACTCTGGGATCTAGTAGCCTTGAGGGAAACTTGCATTTTCCCAGCGAGGGGGTTATGTTTGTGCAGAGAGAGGCAAAAATTGCCCCCCAGTGTGTAATCGCACTGTATGTTCTGTTTCCATTTTTGAGGGACTTCAGAATCCCAAGTCTAGCCCATAGTCATGGGGATCCTCCTTTATAGCTCACACATGTGTACTCCGGCAATTATTTGTGAAGAGCTTTGCAGTTACCATGGCTGTTGCTATGGTTAGGCGAACACCTGCAGTTAATTTTTACGCTTCTGCTTTGACCTCTAGCAGTTTTTCTAACTTTTTTGGTCACTGTTAATTTTATAATCCCAGTATACTCCATTTTATCACCATTACTCAGCAATACCGACTCCTCGTCCTTTTCAATTCAGCGCTTCAGATGTTAGTCCAGGCTGCTGACTGTTGCAGTAATTTCATTTGGAAAACCATATTCTTGACTTTTGGGACGAATATTGTGTTTAGATCTGATTTACTAAAATGTGGAGTCCATAACTTTTCCCAGACTCATTCTCCATCCCGCACCTTCTAGTTCTTTTTGTTTCCCTAGATAATTTTGTTTTTCACTTCTCTCTATGGGCCTGATCCAGCACCCTTTGAAATTAATGCAGTTTTTCCAATGGCTTCACTTCAGCACTGGATCTGGTCCTGTGTGTCTGAGCACGGAGTACAGGTTTTCCAGAAAAAAAGCTTAGGGTTATCTGTGAGCTTTTGGCCTCTGACAGGTAGATGGACCAGACCTCTAAGCTTTGGGCTGCTTGATGTTCTATTTTGAGTCCCTTCATGCTTGTATTGGCTTATGTGATTATTTTCCCCTCTGTGTTTGTCTTCTGCAGTGACTGGGACCTGAACCTAACATCAGTGGGAGTTACAGGTTCATAGCACCTTTCGGGAGCAGACCTTCTATTAAGGGAACCACTGATGGGGCCTGAGCCAAAGCCCATTGAGGTTAATGGAAAAACTCCCATTGGCTTTGGGTCAGGCCCCTGGAGAGCAAATTCAAAGATAGTGAAACTCCCATTTAATAATGAACTAGATTGAAAGCCTTGAAGTGTTTGAATGGCATCCGTAAGGCATTGGGAAGTTGTTTTTCCTATTGAAAGGGGGTCAGGGGGATTGACTTTGTTATCCGGTTCCCCAAGCTGGCAAAAGTCAAATACCTGGTGAGTATTGTTTGGTCACAATGTACATCAGGCTCCATCTTGACTGACTGGGGATCTCTTGCAGGTTGTGACTGACCTCAGACTCTATATGCGAAATTCCTGCTCTGTCCTATCTGCTCACCTGTTGCAGTTTATCAAGACTCTGGTGGAACGGGCTGCTGCGTAAGTCCTTATTTTTCCAAGCCCACGCTATGAAATGAAACGCTGTGGCCTCTCTTGGGGAAGCTGCTTGTGTGCTGTGATGTTAAAAATTCTGGGCCAGATCCTTAGCTAGCGTAAATCAGCAACAGTCCATTGAAGTCAGTGGTGTTCTTTCCATTCAACTCGTACAGTGTCCATGTGCAGTCAGGCAAAGTGCATGCAGCTGCAGCTGATGGTCCGGGTAATAGGGTTGGCCCCTTCTTTTCTCTCAGGGAATGGCTGGCCTGCTGCACGGAGACTTCCTCTTATCCCAGATGTATCCTGGCAACAAATCATGTTGAAGAGGCTAAAACTTAATTTTAATAAAGCAAAATCAAATAGAGGCAGCTGGGACTGCTCAACCTTTCCAGATTGTAACGATTAAAAACTGTAATGACTTTAGCTGCTGACTAAACTACAGTGATCCAAACAATTTATCATAGACTGATGAGCCTTCATTACAGGATATTTTAATGTCCCAGTTCTCTTCATAGCTAACAAATAGGAGGATAAATAACAACTAGACAACAAAGGGTTGGTACTACCCTAAACCAATAATGTTACAAAAGCATCTTGAAAGCCTAGTGGACTATGCACGGACTGGTAAATTCCTGAGTTCTAATCTTGGCTCTGACACTTGGTTCATGGATTTAAGGCCAGAAGGGACCATTGTGATTATCCAGTCTGAACGCCTACGTAACACGGGTCAAACAACCCCACCCAGTTATTTCTGCATCAAGCCCATAGCTTCTGTTTGAGCTACTGCAACTATTATTAAATTATTATTGTGTTCAGTACTTCCCGGCTTATTGTGCGCCTCCAGCACACAATTTGCAGGTTGTTGGATTTGCTAGATTCTTTTGAACTGTAGATCAGCTGTCACCCTTTTCTCCCTCCTCTCTTACTTCTTATTGCAGAGAAACTGATGTGATCTTTCCTGGCTACACTCATCTGCAAAGAGCTCAGCCAATCCGGTGGAGCCACTTTTTACTCAGGTAACTTCGTAGGATCTGCTGTGACAGTTTGTCCTTGGGGACCAGCTCATTGACAGCTATATGTGCAGCCATGTCACATTGGAACATCAGCACGTGGTGACGCTGAAGTGGCCCCCAAAGCTAACCTAGGAAGCTGCGGTTTTGCAAGATGTCTGAGTTGGGATGGGTAGCACACCAGACTTCACGCTACCAGGAGCCCTATGCTGAGTTAACCTTCCTTTAATGCTCTTCCTCGGTTGTGGGTGGGTTCAGAGAAGAAACACAGGGGCTGAGTGAATGAAATCCAAAGCTCTCCCTGCACAAACAGCAGGCAGCCAAGCTCAGGAACTAAACTTAAAGTAGCTCATAGGCTCTGCCACAAAAGACCATAGGACCAACCACAACAGCTCCATTTTAATCTGCACTTAGTTTACCAGGGTTCTGAGCCCACGTTCTACTTTGAGTAGATTTTGCAGAGAGCAGATGATTGAGGGGGCCATGAAAAAGAGGGCACCTGTCTCCCACTTAGAGGTGGTCCCTGTAGGCCAGCATTACAGCTCACTGGAGGGGGTAGCATGGGGAAGCTTGCACTGCTGCTGGCCTTTCCCTCTCTTCACTGACACAGCCCCCCTCACCATGGTATCTGGGCGCCATGCTTTCCATGCCCATGGTATCATGGGCTCTGTGATCCGTTGATCAACGGGATTCTGGTCTCCAGGGTTGACAACCTGGCACTCCTTACAACAGCTACGTTCCATTTTAGAGAGGAAAATGTGAAACAGGCTTCTTTCCTACCGGTCATCTTTTTTTCCTTTTGTTTTTTTTCCCCCACAGTCATGCAGTTGCGTTCACCCGCGATTCTGAGCGTCTGGGAGAAGTGAAGAGAAGAATCAATGTTTTGCCCTTGGGAAGGTAAAGCGTTCAGTTGTTTTACTTGTTTTTTTGTGGGGGGTAACACTGGTGTATCTTACAGAGAAAACACAGATGTGAGGGTTGGGGTCCTTCCACTCAGTGCGCCCAATGTGAGCTGTATGTGCTGATGGAGGAGGTTGTTGAGCTCTCAGTTGTAAATCGCTCCGAGGGCAAAGCTTATAACCTTCTCGTGCAAGTAATATACCCCCCCCCACACACACTTTTGATACATTCCTTCTGACTACCCTAATCATTGCTTTGCATCATCTACGACATTGGAGGGATCCATCTGTGTGATATCCATTGATGGATTGTTAGCCTACCTGAGCGAATGTGGACTGAGAGCACTCCGACTGCTAGTGCTTCTCAGGTGTAATGTTGTGCCTTCAGCCCAGGGCCCCCTGAGAGGCAGATATTTCAGACGTGGCTGTCTGGATTTGCAGAAGAGATCTCCAGTATCTACAGGCTCTTCTGTTGGGTACAGGATCCTGCCCTAAACACTTCAAAATAGAAACCACGCCTTATTCACGTTGGTTGACTTTGGCCAGGAGCTAACCA